GAGAGAGAGTGTGTGTGTGTGTGTGTGTGTGTGTGAGAGAGTGTGTGTGTGTGAGAGAGAGAGAGAGTGTGTGTGTGTGTGTGTGTGTGTGTGAGAGAGTGTGTGTGTGTGAGAGTGTGAGAGAGAGAGAGAGTGTGTGTGTGTGTGTGTGTGTAGTGCTGCATATTCATGTCTCGGCCGGTGCTAATGTTTCATCTTTAATGTATTATTGTGGAGGCTTTGTGATGAACATGTTTTTAAATGGGCTCTTTGACTGTGTCGTATCAAATGTAATGCACAGAATCTCTCTGAACCGTCCTCAGTTTCCTGCAGCAGGATTCACATCACACTCGCTCCGCTTGAGTCGCAGCTCTCAGCAGTGACCTTTAGTCCGAGAAACAATCGCAGAGATCCGGCAACTTCACTTCAGATGCCTGTGTCATTGAAAAGCACAGCAGGAGTTTCTCTGGGTCTCGGCAGAGAATGACGTCTGACATTATTCCACTTTACCTTGAATTCGACACGACTCTCGACTCTCACGACCTGCATTCTAACTACTATGCAACCTATTTTATATTTCTTTGTCAGTTACACAGTTTTTCCCTCTGTGATGTTGTTCTGCACTTTCATCGTTTTAGATGCACACCGCAACACTGCTGATTGAACTAAACAGGTCACAGACACTAGTTTAGTTAGTTAGCGTCATGGAGGGATTGATGTGTTTGTTGACCGTCTGTCATCTTTAGCAGTCTTTTGTTGCTCAGACTTAAATGATGAACTTAATTTTGGATAAAATCAAAAAGAACTCAAGATGCATGTTTAATATGGATAATTTTACAGAAATTCATTGTGTAAATTTGTAAGTAAAAAAGAAAAAGTTGAGGATCTTACAGTACATGCGTGACATGATTGCTAGTTACAAATAAATTGTTCCAAAAACTACAATTAATTTGTTTTACTCTGTCTTAGTCACATTGATCAGTTTAGAGCTGGACGATGGGAGAGTTTACATTTGGAGACATTTACGTTTATGCATTTAGCAGATGCTTTTAACCAAAGCAACTTACAATAGAGGACCATAAGCAATTCGTCACAGAGCCAACAGTATTCGCATTATACAGTGTCATATTTATCAGAGTTATATATTATAAGTTAGAGAAGAGGAGATATGCAGAAGAATTTATTTATTTTTGCAAATGCATTTAGAGGTGAAGCTCTGGCAAAAAGGTGCATCTTCAGCTGCGACGAATCCAAGGGCCCGACGAGGGAGAGGGGGCCCGCAACACTTTTTTACCAAAAAAGTAAATTTTTACCAAAGGGAACCCCCCCCGGAGAGTGGGCCCGAGTCAATATGCTGTTCAGGGGCCCCAGAAACCCTACTGATGTGTATCACATGATTAAACTGATGCATATCGGTGTTCAATCGCTCGTCCTTGATGTTTTGAGAACCTCAGCGGCTTTTAGTTTCTCTATGAAATGTGTAAATCTTGTTCAGTGTTCCTCATTCCGAAACTGACTGATGAAAGCACATGAATTCAGAGGGCAGATGAAGACTGTGATTGTGCGCTGGTGTTTGCTGACACAGAGGGTCCCGCTCAGGTGCGTCACCGAGAGTAAAGAGATGTGGATGAGAAACTATGTGTTGCTGCAGGATCTGATGAAACGTGCAGCTATTTAAAGCATCAGATGCGAGCGCTTTACAGCTCACCGTTACATAGTTAATGCTTGTTTCATTTGACTGCTCAGCCTCCACCGATCAATAACCCGCGGTCTGCGGCAGCCTCCGTATAGAAGCCATTATGCAGCGTTTGACAGCCGACCCAGAAGAGCTCTGCACCAGCGTTACTCCACATTTAGCACCATCCGTCTGCAGCAGAAAACCAGCGAGACTCATTTGTCTGTTTTCTCTGAGAGAAACGCCTTGTGTTTGTCAGCAGAACCCAAAGAGTGAGATACGGCAAGCGCACCGCTCAAAAACGGCCCTCAGGACCGGCGTCCTGTGGGAAACGTGGCCGGGGAGAGACTCTCTAAGTAGATCTGGGTCACGGAGAGCCGCGAGGAAGAGCCTCAGGCACAGATACATTTGAACAGGCCCTCAGATTAAATCCGTCTTCATTTAATTGCAGAAGCCGCGTATAGAAGCCATTATGCAGCGTTTGACAGCCGACCCAGAAGAGCTCTGCACCAGCGTTACTCCACATTTAGCACCATCCGTCTGCAGCAGAAAACCAGCGAGACTCATTTGTCTGTTTTCTCTGAGAGAAACGCCTTGTGTTTGTCAGCAGAACCCAAAGAGTGAGATACGGCAAGCGCACCGCTCAAAAACGGCCCTCAGGACCGGCGTCCTGTGGGAAACGTGGCCGGGGAGAGACTCTCTAAGTAGATCTGGGTCACGGAGAGCCGCGAGGAAGAGCCTCAGGCACAGATACATTTGAACAGGCCCTCAGATTAAATCCGTCTTCATTTAATTGCAGAAGCCGGTCGCGAGCAGGTGAAGGGAGAGCGCGGCCGCGGCGTGACGGAGCATAAATCCAGCGGCGCAGCTCGGATAAAGTCATTGCGCTTGTTAAATTGGCTGTAGTAGCCTTGGGTCTCATTATCAAAGTTTTGCAGGAACTTCTCAATATTTCATGCGTAGCGCCCCTCCTATATATCAATATGTGTGAATGCCATTACAACGCCGCTTAATATTTTAATTGCTTCCCAGGAACAGAGGGCGAGCCAAATTGCTTTGGTATCCCGGAGGCTTCGGCGGTAATGAGATCCGCGCCCCCTCCGCCTGTTTGGAAGGTCCTGACCTCTCATTCGTCTCTGGGCTGTTATTGAGGGATCGGCAGAGGAGCACTGTCTGTGGTAAACGCCGGCTGATGGATGCCGAGTGTTCGGACGCCTGCGGAGCCGCTGCTCTAGAGCTAAAGAGCCGTGAAAGATCTCGCTCTCCGACCCTTCGTGATCCTGATTCCCAGAGCTTTCCAGACTAAGAGAGAGAAACCAGCTCTAATAAATGCACTTCATTTCCCAGAATGCATCGGCGGAGTTACCTGTGAATTATAATTCCTCTTCCTGTCTGCTGTGGCCAGTTCACACGCAGGAATTGAGAGGAGCTGATTCTTTAGCTGTATTTCGTCACGTTTTTCATTGTCAACTTGAAAAGATGCATTGTTTTAAAAACAGCCGAGCTGCTCATGCTCCTGTAGTTACAGTGAGTTAGCAGTGGTGCTGTGAGGTAGTTGTGCGAGTCACTGGTAGTTTGACAGACTGTGTTGAGCTTAAAGGGGTCGTGAACTGCCTTTTTTTAATTTTGTATTGTTCTCTGAGGGCCACATATATTGTTATCAAGATTTTTACATCATAAAACATCATAATTCAGAAGTAATAGGTTATTAGTAGTTTTAGTTTGTCTTTCTGAAAATCCTGCATTGAATTGTGCCTTGTTTGTAAATGAATCCGCGGTAAAATGAAGTGAAAATCATTAAAAATAAAGTTCATCCACTCTTTTCTAATGTTGGGATCAGCAGGCAGGCAATGCAAAGACTGTGTTTTTCCACAGCACGGCTCTGAACAGCTTCTTATTGTCTTCAGAGCATCTTTATCGTTTGGTTTTTGTGTGTAGACCTGCATTTGCCTCTCTCGTTATTTACACTATGTACGCGAATCGGTGGGCGGGGCTAAACAGGCAACATCATAATTCAGAAGTAATAGGTTATTAGTAGTTTTAGTTTGTCTTTCTGAAAATCCTGCATTGAATTGTGCCTTGTTTGTAAATGAATCCGCGGTAAAATGAAGTGAAAATCATTAAAAATAAAGTTCATCCACTCTTTTCTAATGTTGGGATCAGCAGGCAGGCAATGCAAAGACTGTGTTTTTCCACAGCACGGCTCTGAACAGCTTCTTATTGTCTTCAGAGCATCTTTATCGTTTGGTTTTTGTGTGTAGACCTGCATTTGCCTCTCTCGTTATTTACACTATGTACGCGAATCGGTGGGCGGGGCTAAACAGGCTAAACAGGCAGTGATGTAGAATCGGTGGGCGGGGCTAAACAGGCTAAACAGGCAGTGGTGAAGAAGCAGGCGTCGATCTTCTGTGGAGGCGGGGTTTAGTCACACTATTACGTCACAAAGTGGCACATTCCACAAGCTGTCATTTTTGCTGATGGTCTTCAATATAAGCTGATTTTAGACTAATGAGAAAGTTTTGATTTCTGAAACTTAAAGGATGTTTTTATAGTACAAGTACCTCTTATCTGTCAAAAGATAAAGGGAATTTTGATTTCTCAGTTCATGGCCCCTTTAAAACTGAAGTGTGTGCTGCCATCACCTGCCATTCAGCTGTTAAATGCGCACACACACACACACACACACACAATATGATACGATTCTAGACTGTGTGTGTGTTCTGTATATAAATAACTCAAATATGAGTGTTGAATTGTGCTGTTCAAGAGTGGGACGTGCTGATGTCAAAATGTCAGGTGATTTATGTAATAACTGATTTTGTTTTCTCATAGCTCACTGGATGTCATTCAGATCCTCTGGTCCTCTTTTAAACCATTGTCTGTATTTGTGCATTTTATGTAATTTTTTCTTACATGTCGTTCTGATTCTCTGGTCCAGAGGTCTTTTAAATCAGTGGTGTCTGTATCTGTGCTTTTATTTTAATTTATTTTATTTTTTATTTTCTCACAGGCCATGTGAGTCTGTCCACTCAATCCTGCACACAGACTCACGTAGACTAGAGTGTGTAGTGTGTAGACATGATGAGATATTCTCATGCTAATCATCAGATCAGTGATCTCAGTCTCTGCTGGTCTTTCAGACGTGTGGATCTGAGCAGAGCTGTTCTCTGCTCTATTTGTTAATTGCTTCTCTTCATTCTTTCATTGACTCTTATATTGAGGGCCAGTTGAGCTCCCAAACCCTTCAGTCTGGTCGATTATTAAAGCTTAAGATCTCAATACAGTAGAGTTTAATTCTGTTTTCTGCTCTTCTTTCGGGTCACATGATGCCGTGAGCTGCTGCTTCTCCATGTATCAATGAGCAAGAGTTTCACTAGATTTTGAATTAATCAAGAAATCAATTAGTATAATAATTAATTCGCTTTAATTAAACAATTCTGGAGTAGATTGGAAACTCATTATTTATTCAATAATTAATGTGCTGTGATTAAATATATTCTCAGTTTTAAACACCTCTGCGTCATTTGTGAAGAGTGATTATATAAGTAATAATGAATCATTCTGAGCCTGACGTGCGCATGATATCCGTCTATCCGTCCGCATCGATACTTAGTGTTAACGAGCATTAAACCTCCATAATCACCTTTTGTTTATGTGTGTAATTGTGAACACAACTAGATGAGTACAGTTTGACGACAAACGATGTTGGCTTGACAAAGCCAGGTGTGAAAGTATAAAAAGCCTGAAGTTTGAAGGTTGAGAATTCAGTAAAAATGTTACTAGCATTTTAGTTTTCACCCCCTCAAAGGAAGTCTATGGGAATTTGGGCCTGTTTGGAAGTGCGATATGGGAATTCCGCAAGTCAGATCGATTAGAAAACATACAGTACACTGAGTCAGAATGGTCTGAAGGTCTGTGCCAAGTTTGGTTGTCATGGCTTTACAGCTCTAGGAGAAGTTAATTTCAGAAATTTGGTCTCAGAAGTAGAAGAATTGGAAGGCAGCCAGCATAATTAAAGTTGGGAAGTAACAAATCAAATAAAGAAAGCATAGCAACAGTAATCATGCATCTCTTTTCAACCCAAAACAATCAGGTTAGTAAGTGAGTTTGTTCCATCCTTCAGAGGATTTTACTGCTCATATTTAGTGATAACTCATGTCAAGTGATATTTCAGGTCTATTATCTGGTGCTGCAGAACTGTTCATTAGTGTGTGCGACTGAACATACGCTGAAATAAATGTCACTTTAGTGAGACAAAAGCTCTGTAAAGATCACTAGAACATTAAGACGCCACAGAAAGTGTTATTCTAGAGTTCAGATCCTCCGAGGAAAGCGTCTGTTTGAGCACATTCACGGCAGACACTCGTGGGATTTCAGTCCAGCTGGCCTTTGGATTCAAGCCTCGCTTTCCGACATCATTTGGCCGAAGTCTTGAATTATAAAAGCTGGTATCAGATGCTCTTGACAAGGTCACATCATTGTCTCCTCTTAATTACTTTAAAAGAGTTCTGGAGTGCCAGTGAATTGAAAGAGCCCGATTGTGAACCAGAGCGAGACCTTTTCTGAGCCCATCATCTGACGGCTGTGATTAAAGCCTGCATTCAAACGGCTGCTGGAGGTGTTTGTTTTACTTCAGCACTGCAGTAATTCATGTACTTCTGTAGAAACACACAGTTATTTGATTTCATTTCCCACCATCAAATAAGGCCTGTCGGCTAAATGTGCTGAACGGAGTCCTGGGTTTTGTGCTGCATTCACACAATCTGCTTCAGAAAGATTAACTTAATAAGCCCGGTGCTGGAGAGCACGTTTAACGTGTGCTGGAGAATAATTAGAAATGGAAATAAGTAAATAAATGATGTATTTTTCAGAGCGCATCAAGGTGAAGCCTCACACTCTTCACTGTGTTCAAAGTACGTGATTCTGACTTGAGAAGTCATTACTAAATGTGGCGCTCAGAAGTAAGCAGTCATGTTTTAGGTTCCTCTGTTGATGATGTCACATGAGGGGTGGGGCAGATTACAGGCCACGCCCATCCACAGGAGAGGCAGCGGTGAGGACGAATCCAGATCTAAGGTGGAGCTCGTTAAGGTAAACGATAATTCAATAAGCTTACTTAAGAACTTGTTTAGTCAGATTTTAACAGAAAAAAATTTGTTTTTTAATGTGTAAATGTAAAACATCCTGTATAATCTTACCTGCTGTAATTTTATTTATGTTTGGTTTTACTATATTTATGCATCACTTGAATATTATGTAACTCAGTTCTTGCCATGAAAATAGCATCATTTGCTGACATGACAAACTGAACAAATACTAAACTAGTACTACTAATAAAGGTTAACTAAATGATTGTTTGTTACTGGTGATTTATTATTTAAAGGGTACAAATTACAAAAAAAAAAATAATAATAATATGATCAGAAAGTCATGGGAATATGCTTTTCCATTACTTGTACTCATCAAAATAATTTAACCATTTTCAGTTGTTTCAATTGAACACAAAACCCAGAGAAACCAAATATGTCTCTTTTCATCGCGTGTGTTTGCCGTGCAGCAACAGTTCAGCACGTTTCCCTGAATTCTGGTAAAAAAAAAAAAATGTCTAGCTGTGACAGCAGAAGGAGGGAAAGTGGAACATGAACTGGAAGTAAATGAGTGCTTGAGATAAATTTGGAGTCGATACAAATGAGATTTGGAGCAGCGTGAAGCACTAGAGGAGATTGAACATCTCTGGCGTTATGTACGTTTAATTTACTGTATGACTGCTGTTGTGTTTCATTGCTCTCTTACATGCAGCTCGACACAAACCCCTGAAGGCCTTCCATCACCTCCTCCTCGCTCTTGTGGAGACAGGAACTAGGAGTCGAAGGAGACCGAGACTCGTTGATTCAGATGCAGTGTGTGCAAATCAGGTAACTGCGTGTTTCATCAATGACAGACCTCAAGCACCTGGAAGGTTGTCGAACCCAAACCCGTCCTGAAAGCCCATGTCCACTGAGTGAAGATCTCAAAACCAGGGCTGTGAATTTAACTTGTTAATTTGGTGCAATTGATTATGGAAAATAATGTTAAAATGATTAATGCAGCGCCTCGTCCAGACCTGTCCGTCATCTCACATTGATGCAGTGTCTGATGAACATGATGCAGGATGATTGACTGCGTGATGGAGTCTATTAGAATGCTGTGATATGAGCCTAAAATCACCCTCATATTTATATCATACGATATAGTTTAGCAATATCACACCAGCATGAGTGGTGATGCAATACTACTGCAATACTGTGATATTGATTTATACAAGAG